AAAAGGTCATATGCTTTTATCAGTTGAGATGGTCAGGTCATGTATTACGGTTATCTACTCACCGTCTATTCTAGCACGTTATCTCAGATGAAATAGGATTACACTAGACGAGGTTATTAGTGACCAGACGTAAACATGTCATCAGTTCATATAGTTTCTAACTGCTGGTATGAGCTGTGTGAGGAAATGCAGGCCCCCAGTTAAGGTTCAGCGCGACAGCCGAAATTGATAATTGGAGATTCTAGTTAAAATGGATAAGGACCGATCTCAGTGGCGTAAATGCATCTACATACTGTCTTCATTCTAATCGTTGTATCACATTTCATTATCTTGTTAAGCTCCCCTTTCTCTCTTCTGATGAATTTCTATGACTTTCAATCATGTTTTCCCTACTTATCTGTCGACATTTTCGTTGTGTCGGTGGGAAGTGTGGCAGTATGGACCAGATTCATATTGGGTGATTCAAGACGATACGGTCTATACGAAATGTTTGTGTGCATACATGTGTTGTCACTGATTTTCAGCACTATATATCAAAATAGAATTTCACTAGATACCAACAAACGAAAAGCTGTTTTTACCTGAAACACATGTACATATAAATCACTATATGTTCATTGTCTAACTACATGAAGAAAATAGTGATTTTGTATTCAGTAAATTTCAATTCTACGGCTGATTTTTCCAACTCAGTTATAAGTCATATACTGCATGAAGTAAAGATGGAAATCAGGTTTTGTCTACATTACCTGAACGAGTAGTTTTACGTGAAAAGAAGTTGAGGTAAAATTGATGTCCATGCATGTTTGTTTATCGATTACGCCACCTACTTTGTCGGTCTAAATTTTTATGAAGGCCGTATTTGCCGGCATTTTTAAAACCTCTCACGAAGAATCGGATTTTCAGGAAGGTTCAACCTTCTCCAGTTGTAGTCTAAATAAATGACCGTGTAGTAAAATAATGCTGGTTAGCTTAACTGTGCTATGATCTCCCCCCACAATCATGCTTTACATGAAATTATCAGATTTTTTCAACTTTCGTAGATGAGGCAATTTCCGAAAAAACTTGGTGATTTAGAGTAGCATGATATGTCAGTCATAAGCATAGCTGTAATCTGTCGAATATTATGATTTTATGTAATTTGGATGGTGAAAGATAGTGAAGGACACCTAGTTACCAAAGAGGAGAAACAAAGGGCTGATCAATTCAAAAACTCTTGACTCGACAACCACTTGCAATTCGTCCAGAAACACCACTAGCCGCCCAGTCACAGAAGTACCAGTGAAAACAAGCCCTCCGACAAAAGCCGAAGTCCTCAATTCTATAAAGCTGCTGAAATCGGGGAAAGCAGCAGGACCAGATGGAATTCTGCCAGAAGTACTTAAAACAGATGCAGAGACAATAGCAATGGACACGTTCGCACCACTACTGAAGAAGGTTTGGAAGGAAAGGTACCTGCCGATTGGAACCGCTACCTTGTCCAACCCCTAAAGAAGAAAGACCTAAGTCCTTGCAAGAACTGGCATGGAATCATGCCCACTCCTATCCACACCAAGCAAAATATTACGCCGCATCATCCTGGAGAGACTAAAGGGTGCACTGGATTCAAAATTACCACTGGAACAGGCTTCAAGAAAAACGATTCATGTGTGGATCAAATTGCGACACTACACTACGCATCATCATAGAACAGAGTGTAGAATGGCAGCCAACTTTCCACCTTACCTCAACTTCATCGACTTCGGCAGCGTCGACCGAGAAATAATTTGGCAGCTACTTCAACACTACAGTTTCAGTGCCACAAACCTTTACCAACCTCATTCAACAGCAGCCATAGGCTATATGATGCTACATGCCTAGTGATTCATAGTGGAAAGCAGCTCAGTGACGCCTTTGAAGTGAAGACATGAAGGAGTAAGACAAGGTTGCCGCCTACTATCACCGATCATCTTCCTGATTGTGGTCGCCTGGGTTATGCAGCATACCGTGAGGGGCGTACGCTGGCTGGACCGATGAAAAGACCCTAGGAGAAGATTTCGATTTCGCAGATGATGATGATATATGTATAATGTCGCATAAACTCGAAGATCTACAGGCGAAAACTAACAAGTTGGTAGAAGAGGCGAGGTAGCGAAGGAAGACGGGACTTCCTTCAGGTGAACGTAGAGAAGACAGAGATGATGAAGATACCCAACCAACAACAGCAAACACTTATCACCATCAATGGGATAAATCTGAAGGCAGCATCGTTTCAACTACAGGTGGTACAGGCACAGATGAGGATGTCAGAATCAGGATCAGAAAGACAGCATAAAGCCTAAACAAGATCCGGATTTTCAGCACTAAGTCAAGTCAGTGCTTCTATGTGATGGTTGAGAGACAAACTACAGACATACATCAACAGCTGCCACCTACGCTCACTCGATAATGAAGATCAGATGACCAGAATAATAAGAACAAGCAACAAGGAACTGTGGCTGGCTGGCAACGAACCAACCAAGAACCCACCGCCCAACAAATATGCAGAAGAAAGTGGAGATGGATTGGACATACAGTGAGAAGAGTGATTGGGGACATCACGCTCCAGGCTATCCAATGGGACCCAAAGGGGAAGCGACGAGTTGGACGTCCCAACTGAGGGTGACATAGAGGAGATTGTGTGAGGAAGAAATGATAGCTTGTGGGCAGTTAGGGAGCCAGGTTGACAAGACTGGGGAGAAGAGAGTGAAATGGTGACGTGCTACTGAATCCCTATGTTCTACTAGGAACCCAGGGGACAAATAATAATATTCTTTGAGAATTTCCGGCTGCAAGCTGTCAGATCCTACCGCTTTACCTTGTCAGTTTTGAAGCAGCCTTCTAAACTTAGGTGAGTTGAAAAACCAAGACCTACCACCTTTTCAGGTCAAAACTAAGCTTCTGACAACTGAAGTGTGACTTTTTCTCAAGGTGCTCGTTGTATATCTAGTCCTACTCTACTCAATAAAACTGAGTGGTTGCCAAATATTATCCAGGGTTGATATCTTTATCATTTTTGCTTACCACCATAGCTCATTATGAAGGCTTCTAGTCGACTTAAGTCCAGTTTTTTTCGCTTCACATTATGACCATAGTCAACTGGAGTGTTTTCTCCCACTAATCAGCTAGGATGAGATAACAGAAACTGACTGGTTCGCTAACCGTTGGATCTAAGTTGCATTAATCACTTTCTACCGAATACTGAATATCAAACCAGACAGAATACGGGTGAAAATTGCTACCTTGTTCAAATAAACGACCATGTATCTCCCTTCTAAATACATAACTAGTGTTTTCATCCTTCAGTTGAGAACAACAAGCTTGATTGCCGCATATTTCCTGCGCTAACACTCGTAACCGTGCTAGTGGATTAACGGCTTTTGGTGAAACTTGTCCTTTGCATCACTCAAACTGCAACCAGTTGGGAGAAATTTCCAATGGGCATCAACACATGTCACGGTTCTTTCTAAAGATCCATCTAGCCAGTTGTCCAGATGAATATTACGCTTTTTGCTCTAGAACTTAAGGCTACACGTAAATCAGCGAGTCCATAAGAATTAACCATTGAACTCTGAGACACTTCTAAGGTGGATTTTGCAGATTCTCCACATTGGGGAGGTGAGCTTAAGAGGATAATCAAACTTGAAAGGTCTATACCTTTGTCAGAAACAGAGTACAAATCCTTCGCTCAAGATTCCAGTTCTGGCAAGCGAAGTCGTTTGACCAATTTGAGTTCGGATGTTGAAAGCTTCAACGTATGAAACTGACAACGGTTTTAGGAGAATTAGAATGGTTTGGATTGTTAGTATCGGTCACAAGGCAAACCGCTCAGTAAACTATAAGTAGCTTAATGCTGGCAACAGAAACAGGTAGAAAAGTCAAGGTACGTTTTATATACCAGATGGATTTTATATACCGCTGAAAGTGAACAGGCGCTTCGCACTTTCTGGTTGACCGCTGCGTGTTGTTTTCGTGAAAGAGTAAATACATCAGTTTTGCCCTACCCAAAAGCCCAAGGGACGTCTGCTCGGAAGTCACACATGGCCTTTTTAATCACAGTGAAAAAACTGGTTAAAAAGCCCAATTTAGAACCAAAAGGTCTCGCTATAAGCCATCCAAATGCACACCATTCGTTTAGTTCTATAGACTAAGGAACTTGACATGATTATTAACATTAGTGTAGAGTACAATAAACAGAAGTGTGCTACCTTTACGGTCGACATTTTCTAACCCAATCCTTCCATTAAATGAAAGCAGCACCATCAGCATAGGTTGCTCATCCGTAGCAAACGCCTTACTGCTATCAGACCTCGTACAGCTAGCAGTACACGTGTGCCCTCGAACCCATAATATGGCCTCAGTTGTCTGTACTGTGAAGGTAACTGCTTCCAGTCTCGCTACTATCATGGTGGGACTTCAAGGGAAAATTGTTAGTCAGCATAGAATACTGGATCATTGTGATAGGTGAACCACATTACAGCTATCACAAAATGAAACTGTCATTTAAGTACCAAACAAATAACATGAAAAAAACTAGTCATATATTATCCACCTAGTGATAATGACTTAATCAAGATTTCATTTCCTGATATCGATCTGTACTACGACACAAAGATGATATCCCAATGGAACACATTACTGTAATACATACATATACTTTCGGATCGCTTGTTTATTAACGATCAACACAACTCTTCAAATAAAAGCTAATAGTGCTGCTTAACGGAAATTTGAAATAACCTTGGTTGGCAAACTAATTTTCATGTTTAGCGTTTCCCGAGGGTTTGTGTCCTACCACTGTCCTGATTTCCCGTCATTAGCCCTGAGAATTCCATCTTAGTTCGCTTATTAGATGTTTCAGTGTTGGTAACTTCAAGCTATTCACGAGTATTGTACTTTCTAATTCGCTCTATTGAAAGGTGAGATTAGTAGGTCTAAGGTGTTACCTCTGGCTGAAAATACGAGTGTGAAGTAAGAACTCGTAGTAAATATAGGATTTAATATGATATACTATGAAAGCTGATTTGCAAAATCTTTTTATTTCCAAGAACTTTGATTCAGGGACAGGTTTTTTAACAAATACCATAAACGCAGTAAGGTGAAATTATATTTCACTCATTCCAATGCACTACCCATTAGAATATAAGGTTTTCATAACAGAAATTAGCTGACTGTACAGTACAAGTAAACTGAAAAACAAGGACCTGAAACTAAGTCAGTGTAAACAATCAAGTTTTGAAAAATCATACACATGCCGACATCATGTCAAATAGTTTGGCGGAAGAAAACGTAAGTCAAACAGATATCAAAGTTATAAGCAGTTCCTACCGTTAAACTCCTTGACGCACATACATTCTCAAGTGATCATAAGAGCGATTGAGCAAAACGGTAAAAATACTCATCTCCTCAAATAAAGTCAGTGAATAAGAATAAAGCACAATAAGAAATATACAATTATAATCATAATAATAATAACAGTGGTGGTAATAAAAATGGTATCCAACCGAGCGAAACAGACAGATTCAAAAGTTAAACAATGTTAATAACAAATACACTGTGTATGCTCCTAAAACATGCAACCAAAACAAGCTTTTGACTACGAAAAGACTGTACGCGTCTTAGAAAGAAGGTAAATAAAAGCTGTTTGACAATTAGTGAACAACAAATAAAGTTTCACACTGACTGATTCAATCTTGATATAGAGCAAAATACAACTGATATTTGAAAAACATTAAAGGGAAATCTACGTTTTTCGACGGACAAAATGCTGCCGTAAATGACAGCGATGAACAAGGGACAATAATGCAGTTATTAACCTGACGCCTCCCTTGATCATTGTAATAAAAGCAAGAATTGAAGGTGTAAATTCAGAGATGAGTTATAATTTTCCTTTAGCTTTAGCACCACGGGGTGGAGTTATAGGTCGGCTGCCAGTTGGGACTCCAACGTAATACTTTTTCTTTTCAGCCGGACGCAAAATCTAAGAGCAATGAAGAAAAGAATCAAACAAGATAACGTGATACACTACATTGTAGACATTAAGTCTAGGAATATAGACAAGCTACTAATCACCTTCAGGAATCGAGTTATTTTTTCCGCTTTTTATAGCATTCCTATTGCTGCTACTTGATACATTGGAGTCCTAAAGGTGAAAGATTGCTTTTCTTTCAACTGTGTGTAACTTTACAGTGGTCGCTGGATATGCAATTAAAAGGATTCTACCTCAGATTAAAGATATTATAGCAGTTAAAAAGGAACTAGTCACACAAGATGGCAAAACAACATAGTCCCTCTAATCTGCTACAGAACCATTGTCAGGTAGCACACTGAAAATACACATTGCAAGTACTACAGTTCAGCTGATACCAAGCAGTTACAGTCTGTGCAATAACCGCTAAAAATGTGGTGGATCAAACGGAAGGAAATGGAGAAGACGATCATCATAACAAGAATGTAGTTGTTCAAGGTAAGTTGCCAGAACAGATGAATGAGACGATGAGTATGAAACACTAATGTGTAGTCAGAACTGGTTTTAAATCACATTTTTACCACCTCAATAGTTATCTGATAATTTATACCATCTTTTACTGTTTTACAGCTGACTTGCGGATCACTGTTCTGTTGATAAACCATTACAATCGGGAATGATAAACCAATCTCAAGTTTCAATGTTGTCTGAGGTGCCGTCTAATCATCACTTGTGTAATCTACTGGAACTCAGCTTGTAGCTGTGCATACACGTGTAAATATGCTAACAATACAAAATGTTTGAGGCACAGAATGTTAGTATGCTGCAAGGAAATACATTTCTAGACAAAGAACAAACATTAAAACATAAAAAGGATCTGAAAAAAGAGGAAAAATACGTGAAGATCAATAAAATGTTCAGAATTACGATGATGGGTGAATACATCTGTACTACTTCGATCAATTTAAGGTTATCACTGTTTTTCCAGTCACCACCTTGATATCTGACCTCATTTCTATCAAATAATTCAGACCAACAGACAGTGAATTTCCTGACTTGTGCAACATCATCTGACTACCCTTAGCTTTATTTCAATGTAATCCAACTCTAGATAACAGTGTGTCCACGAAAACAGTGATTCGATATAAGTAACTCATGTTACAAGTAACGCAGTCACTTCAAGTTCACAATAGTATTAACTGATTCGCCTTTATGATAATTTGGTTGGTTGTGGCTAGCAGAAGAATCTAGCACGTGCGTTTCGTCTTCTGTCTAAAACCGTAGACCTAGTCGCAGAATGCCCTACGTGGTGGTTTCATAACATACGTGATGCCAGAAAGACATATATAGTTAAAAAACCACTAAAAGTGTCACAGGAATAGAAATCAAAATGCACTCAATAGCTAGGTGTACGTTTGCGCAGTAGGCAATGAGCCACAACTGCTGTTTGAAAATTAATGATACCACCTAGCTGCCCAAACCTCGGTAGGCGGAGCAGGATTCAAACCTGAGATTCATATGGTGAAAGTCAACTGCCTAGATCGGCTAGCCACAGTTCCACTAACAATTGTCTACAACATTTCTAATAATTGTATCTTACAGCTGCACAGTCATCCCTTAGCTAACTGTGCAGAATACTGGTAATTTGCTGGAAATCCAGTATCTAGACAGCTTTGAAGATGGCAACTTCTAAATAAGTCCTATTGTATTCCGACTGAGATATCATCAACAGCCTATGCTTAAGGGTATGTGGTAAAAACGGTGATGTCAGCAGGAAATTGCATACAGCCGCATGATGTGACAGGTTACTTTGAATCATTATTAAAGATAGTAACCTCGCCTGGTTAACTAGTTCACTAGTTACTAGACGGTCCTAAGCCCGGATAAAGAGGGAAAGTTGGGCATAGGGCTAGCAACCAGTCTAACCGCTGAAGAAACTTCAAAGCACAAACAAAATACAAAAAATAAAAACAAAATTATTCTTCGCTGGAATCAGAGAGGTGAAATGACGCCAACTGGTGAAAGCCTTCGGGAAGCCAATTGGCCGATGTGTCTTCTCTTGATGAAAGCGAAAGTAAGAATGGGGAGATGCAATGTCCGAACAATGTTTGGAGCTGGCTAGCAAGGATGCCCAGATTGTAAAGGAGTTGAGAAGGTATCGCATTGAAGTGTTAGGAATTTGTGAAAGCAGATGGAATGGGAGTGGACTGTCCAAACTGTCAACTGGAGAATCAATAATCTACTCCGATATCGTCACCCAGACGACAACCACGAGCATACTGAGTTATGGAGTAGCTATCACAAGGAAAGAGTGGCTATCATGATGTCCCCAACAGCATCGAAGGCTCTCATGCAGTGGGAACCAATCTCCTTCAGGATCATGACAGCTAGGTTCCACTCAAAGGGAAGGAAAGTCACAATCATACAATGCTATGCCATGCACCTACAAATAATGCAGAGCAAGAGAAAAAGGAGGAATTCTACAGACAACTGCAATCAACACTGGACAAGACCTCAGTTGGTGACATCAAAATTCCAATGGGCGACATGAATGCCAAACTGGAAGATAACTAACCATGGGTCGAGAAACGCTCGGTGAGGTGATGAACGAGAATGGAGAATTGTTTTCAGAATTCTGTGCATTCAACGATTTGGTGATTGGAGGTGGTGTGTTCAAGCACAAGGATATCCACAAAGCGACATGGATTGCACCATTCACCAGGTGGAAACACTAAGAATCAGATCGACTTTATCTCAATGTGAAGGAAGTGGAGACGCAGTCTACTTGACACAACGTCAAGAAAAGGAGCAGATGTAGGTTCAGACCACTATCTAGCGCAAGGAACCTTCCAAATCAAGTTGGCAACCTTCAAGGAAGTTGGCGATAGACTACACTTCAAGTTCAACACCCAGAACAGAAACTGAAGGACGAAACTACAAAGGAAATCTTCACGGCAGCCATCAAGACAAAATGGCAGATGTCGAGGAACATCCCTCAAGAAACCTGTGTGGAAGAACACTGGAAATCTTTGAAAGAGATGTGGAAAGAAACCTGCACAGCCGTATTAGGAAGGAAGAAGAAAGAAGATAAGGAATGGATCTCGACAGACACATGGAAGCTGATGGAGGAGAGGAGGATGGTGAAGCAGAAGATAAACCAGTGCAGTGCAGGGATGAACAACGATAAGAGGAACTGAGTACAACGTATAAAACACTACACTGGACAAAGAAGTGAAGAAGAGTGCATGGAAAGACAAAAGACACTTCTACGAAACACTGACAAGTGAAGCAGAAGAGGCTGCAAGTAGGAGAGACCTGACAACATTGTATCAAATAACCAGGTTACTATCTGAGATGGAAGAGATCAAAACAGATGAAAACAATAAAAGATGATGAAGGAAATTTAATTACCAAAGAAGAGAAACAAAGGAAACGATGGGCCAACCACTTCAAAAAGCTCTTGAACCTACCATCACCTGCAGCCCAACAACAGAATTACCAGTTAACACAAATTCTCTAACAAAAGTAGAAGTCGTGGGCGCCATAAAGCTACTGAAATGCGGGAAAGCAGCAGGACCAGATGGAATACCGCCAGAAGCACTGAGAGCAGACGCAGAGACAACAGCGGACATGCTCACACCACTATTGCAGAAGGTCTGGATGGAAGAAAAGGTACCTGTCCACTGACTGGAAGAGGGGCTACCTTGACAAACTCCCGAAAAAGCGCGATCTAAACGTTTGCAAGAACTGGCGAGGAATCACTCTTCTGTCCATCTAGAGCAAGCAAAATATTAGGCCGCATCATCCTGGAGAGACTAAACGATGCGCTAGATTCAAAACTACGACCGGAACAGGCAGGCTACAGGAAGTACAAATCATGCACAGACCAAATTGCAACGCTACACTACGCATCATCATAAAACAGAGTATAGAATGGCAGTCAACTCTCTACCTCAACTTCATCGACTTTGAAAAGGCCTTTGACAGCGTCGACCGAGAGGTAATTTGGAAACTGCTTCAATACTACGGAATACCACAAACCTTTATCAATCTCATTCAACAACAGCTATATGAAGACGCCACATGACAAGTGATTCACAATGGGAAGCTCAGTGATGCTTTTGAAGTGAAGACAGGAGTAAAACAAGGCTGTCTACTATCCCCCATGATATTCCTGATTGTAGTGGACTGCATCATGCACTAAACAGTGAGGAGCGAGAAAAGGGGGATACATTGGACCGATGAAAAGAACCTAGAAGATTTAGATTTCGCCGATGACTTATGTCTAATGTCACACAAACTCGAAGGTCTACAGGCGAAAACTAACAAGTCGGCAGAAGAGGCGGGGCAGTGAATGCGGGACTTCAAGTGAACGTAGAGAAGACAGAGGTGATGAAGATACCCAACCAACAACAACAAACTCCAATCACCATCAACAGGAGAAACTTAAAGGCAGTAGTCTCTTTCACCTATCTAGGCAGCACCGTTTCAACTACAGGCGACACAGGCACAGATGAGGATGTCAAAGCCAGGATTGGAAAAGCAAGGCAGGTGTTCATTAACCTGAAACCAGTGTGGAGATCTTCTGCACTCAGCATTAAGCGTGAACAACATCCGGATTTTCAACACCAACGTCAAGTCAGTGCTCCTTTATGGTTGAGAGACTTGGCGCGTTACGAAAGGGATTTCCAATAAACTACAGACATTCATCAACAACTGTCTACGCTCGTTACTGAAGATCAGGTGGCCAGAAAGAATAAGCAACAAGGAACTCACTGTGGCAACGAACCAACCAAGAACCTATCGCTCAACAAGTGCAGTAGCAAGAAGTGGAGATGGATTGGGCATATACTAAGAAGGCCGACTGGGGACATCACGCGCCAGGCCAGGTCCTCGAGTGGAACCCAGATGGGAAATGACGAGTCGGGCGTCCCAGATGAGGGTGATATGGAGATCGGCGAGGAAGAAATGAGGGCTTCTGGCTGTCGTGGGGCCAGGTTTCAAAGATTGAAGAGAAGAGAGTGGAATGGAGACGTGCTACTGAAGCCCTATGTTCCATCAGGAACCTAAGGGACAAATAATAATAATAAAGATAGTAGTCAGTTGATTAGAAGATACATCAAGATTCCGTGCCATGTGTCCCGTTCTAGTCATCTGAAACTCTCCATTCATCAGTTGTCTTAGCTTGCCAACGGTTTAAAAAATAAAAAATACATCATCTTTCTCACCTGAAATGAACACAACAGGGTATCATCCACAGACATCATAGCACCTGCGTTATCAAATTCACCACAATAATTTGGAGCGGAAAAAAGAGTGACTAGCTGACGTTTGGCGAAAAATTCATAACCGTCTTCGACGACCTAAAATGGTAAATGATAAATCATTGCAAGTTACCTGATGAGCTCGGCATATCAAATCTAAATCATGTTTGTGTAAAAATCTGGCTACGATATCCGGGCCGAAAGTGTAACTGACACCACGATCATTCTCTCCCCAACCGGATACGTCTTTGTCTGGATCTGACCAAAGTAGATCGCAGAGTAATCCCTGCTCAGGAACATCTGTAGGACGCATAATACGCCTTATTTGCTCCATCGTCGAAAGGTCAGGCGACAGACCTATAGGAGCATATTACAGAAAATAAGAAACAAACCGCCATGACAACAGAATATTTTTTCATCGATTATCGCTACAATTGGTAGACAATTGAAACAGTCCGTGAATGTTTTCCACAATTTTATGTTATATCGCCGTTTGCCTAAAGACTGTATGAAGTGACAATTAGACACTTACATTCATCATAAAAACCATAAATACGGTTAATAGAGGCACATTCATGATTACCCCTTAACAAGAAGAAATTTTCAGGATACTTGATTTTGTAAGCTAGTAGCAAGCATATTGTTTCAAGAGACTGCTTTCCTCTATCCACATAGTCACCCAAAAACAGATAGTTTGCTTCAGGAGGAAATGCTCCGTATTCAAAAAGCCGAAGTAAGTCATAATACTGACCATGAATATCACCACATATTTTGAGTGGAGCTTCCAGCTCTAGCAAAATAGGCTGACTTAAAAAAATTTCGCGAGATTTTAGACACAATCCACGGATTTCCGCCTCGCTTAGTTGCACATTTTTACCAGGACGAATACGCCGGACTAAAAAGTATAGGCAAGAAACAAAAACTTGTGAAATGCAAATTAATAATAATTAAGAACCAAAGTTAATGTTATTCAACTTCATAAAGGTTTCCGAGATTGAAATACAGTTAATGACATGTGACTTAGCAAATACTCTGTTTAAATACTAACTTACGATTAATACATTTTTTGCCAGCATTAGATACATTATACAGCTTTCAATATCTTGGTATGTGATGCAAGTTTCGACCTGTGACTCATTAATTCAAAGTTAAATGCATGAACTACAGAATCACAGTCACAACTTAAGAAATTGTTTTGAGATCATTGCGTACATTAGTATAGGGAAGTAGATTTATGCACAGGTGTAATCGACTCGTTCATGAATCTGTGACTTATTACGATGTCAACTTTTAATAAATGGGTCACAGATTCGAGTCTCGCCACCTGCTGAGTTTTGGACAACCAGGTAGTATACACGGTCGTTGCAACTTAAGCATAGATGATTACTTAGTGTATAAACGCATATGGTTGTTGAGTCACAGTATTATTAGTTTGTAGTCATTTCGTATTTACTTCAAATCTTACGTTTTCTTCTGACCAAAAACGAAAATAAACATTAACAACAATAGGGTAGGCCTATACGTCGTCTTTCACGAATCATTAGGTGCTTTAGTTTATCCAGGAAACACAGCAGGCTGGCTTGTTAGTCAGCATTAAAATAGAACCTAGCACTACTGCTTAATGGTCCTGGCTGTCACACAAGACATCCACAAATCAAGGTAGAAGGCGAAACAAACAGGAATAATACAGAGGTTAAATGTTAAGTCCAAAATAAAAGGTATCAAATCGAATAACCAAATCTGATACAACGGTTAAGATAAGAAGGTCTCTGTCCACCACTGTGACTAAATCCGAGTTATATCATGCAGTCTCCAACTCGGATTTACAGGTCATGAGGAACCTGACCAGTAAGTCTACATTTCTTTATACAGCTTAGATTAGCAGTCGGATACTTCATAGTTTGATGCTATGATTTAGTCTGGCTACCTCCGACCTATTTTTGCCCTAAACTCACTTTCACTAATGACACCCATAGGGACAGCTGGAAGCGAGTTTCTAATAATATTTTTATTCCCTCAAGTTAACAGAATCAGTTGTGACATTTCACGGTCCATTCTACGCGTCTCTTGGATGTTAGTATGTCTACATGTCCAAAGAAAGTCAAATGTGAAGTAACATTAACTTCCTGAAACAGTCAAAATAGATCAAGATGTGTTGTTAACACACTATTTTTTAAAGACCTGATAAAATGAAAGCGAATCGTATCTATTTATACACTGATTGATGGTAATATAGAGTTTTAAAATAAATATCATGTGAACTTCGGCAGTGACACCCGACCGATAGCTGCTACATCGACGAGATGGTAGGGCTTCCATATTACAATGACTTAATGAGCTTTACTGGCTGAGACGTTTGTTCCTTGAGGCCCTGCTATAACAGAAAGATTTGGTGGATAATGACAAGAGAAAAAGCAGCTATCAGTATAGCTTAAACGATAAGGGGCCGAAGGGGTGTGACTTCAGTAAGGTTTCCAGTGGATGACCAATAGTGCCATGCTGTCATCTCCGGAAAAGAGTAGAAAGAGGTAGGCCGTAAAAATGGCATCCTTCCCTGCGACATATCGGTTACGGTAGTATGCGTTTATAGTTGCAATTTTTAAAATCAAAATCCCAGACTGCTAGAAAGGTCGCATGTGATCGACCATAATCAAATGTCTACTGTGCTCTGTGGTTACACTCCATTATTAGTAACCCAACTTTCTACGTAGTTATCACCTACGGTGTGAAATGCTGGGGAGCGTCAACTATCCTCACAACTCGTTCTTTCAAATTAGTGTCAACTTTCCACACCTCTACGTTGTAGCCTTACCCAACGTCTTTCGGTCGGTGCTGATGCATCATCTTAAATTTCTTTCAGTTCTGAGGCTCTTGATAACGATTCACACTTACGGAACATCCTTAGTCAGTCGAAACCGCTATCCAAACTACATACGGCAGCTTTCAGTGTTTGTACCCTGCGTCAAGCTGATTAAAAGGCCCGTTAGTCAGAACACCGACATCTTGGGCAACTGAGACACATACAGCGAAAAAGTGCGGTTATTTAATTAACCTCACTCGACCAACACAATGAAAATCATATATCGAGTTTTTGGAAATTTAATGGCTAGTTCTCACGATCTTTTAGGTATAGGAAGAGCATTAAATGCTGAGGCAGAAAGTGAAATCCTACAGCAGATTAACTTAGTGGTCGAAAGTGTGCCGTTCAACTAAACGATGCAGTGAGGAACGAAAAGAATCCTAGAATTCACTGTTGTCTCTTTGCAATCTCTCTCTCTCTCTCACACACACACACACACACACTGATTGCAGCTTGGATGAGTTCTGCCGAAAACTGTCTAGCCTTCTACTGAAAGTCAAACGTTCAGATGTCGGTGTAGCGGGTGATTTGAATGTACAAGTGGATACGTCAAGTCTGACACAAAGACACTTAGACAATATCTTCAGAATCCCCGTCGAACGAATAGATAACGGTGACCGCCTGCTACAACCGAGTTCAGATAACCAATAATCTCTGATCAGCACGAAATTAAGACCCAAAACGAGACATTGTCTGACATGGCGTTCACTGAACTCAACTCAGGGGTGGACGCAGACTGACCATATTCTTTTTAATTATTGCTGAAGAGGCTCGGTGGGAGATAGTGCATTGACTCGAGCACTCGTATGTTTGCATCTTAATGGATGCAGAAAAACTATAGTTGCAGGAACAACCCCAGCGCAGCCCGGTGATTAGAACATTAAGGTAGTTTTCAATGAGAAACTGGCTAGACAGTCATCGGAACAGAACAACACTCATTCAGAACAGGTCTGAAGCTGTCAAATCTGCTGTTAAGCAAGCGTTAAAGATCACAGCTCCATGGTTATCCAATGCCTAACTAAAGTTCAAGAACAGGAAACTGGAGAAAATCAGGCAGGTTTCAGAGCTCGATGAGGGTCCAACGATCATATTTCTACCCTCCGACAGCTTCTGGAACACAGGCATACCTACCGGCCAATGGCCGACACTTGCCATATTTCTTGACCTGAAAGCAGCATTTGACCATGTCGATTGTGAGGTGTTGTAGCAGTGTCTGGCTGTGGAGGTAGTATGGAGAAAGTATATAACGTTAACCAAAGCTTTCTACTCGACCTCACGCAGCCGTGTCAGGGCTTGTGGAGAGTGAGTTGTCTTCAGAACTGACGACAACTAGTGATGTTCGCTGGGGATGTTCACTGTCACCGTTCGAATTTAACTTCGTTACAGACGTACTATCAGAACTCAAGTTTCCTCAGACTGCTATCCACCTCCCTCAGCATTACCTTTTAATCTTCCTTCACGTCTCCCAACTAACGATACTATATCATCAATTTCTTCTAGCTCCGCAGCCTTCGACAACGATCTGAGTCCACAAAACAGCATCCTTGGTCTCCTTAAACCACGCTCCAAATTACATATCGGAGCTTTCAATGTCCGCACCCTCCGTCAAATTGGTCAACAGGCTTCGTTGGTAAAGACTCTAGCAACTCGGACCATGGATGTGTGCTGTGTTTGTGAGACACGCATACAGGACCCAAGTGTGGTTATTCACCTAACCTCTCCCACCCAACCTGGTGAATCCGCGAAATGCACCCACTGAGTTTTCGGAGACCCGATAGCTAGCTCTCACTGTCCTGCAGGTGTAGGCACAGCATTAAGCACTAGGGCAGAAAACTCACTACTAGACTGGATCCCAGTTGATAATCACCTCTGCGCTATCCGACTGAACGGCATAGTGAGAACTAGAAGGAATAGTGAAACTCGCCGTCGTTTCTGTGTAATCTCCGCTTACGCACCCACTGACTGTAGTTCGAATGAAGTGAAGGAAGAGTTTTACCGTAAACTGTTTAGCCTCCTCTCGAAAGCCAAAAATCGCGACGTAGTGGTTGTTGCAGGTGACTTCAATGCACAGGTGGGTAGACTGAATGAGGCAGAAAGGCACTTAGGTGGCAATTTCGGAGTCCCCGCTGAACGAACCAGATAACAGTGATCGCCTACTACAACTGTGCTCAGATAATCGCCTATATTTACCCAGCACAAATCCCAGACATAAGAAAAGACACTGTATGACTTGGCGTCCACCAAGCTCAACACAGACCACACTGCAATCAGTTATCGCTAGAGAGGATTGGTGGAAGACTGCCGCTCCTTCTGGAGTACATGCTTGGATAGCGACCACGTGTTACTCCGAGCACGTATATCCCTGCGTCTTAATGGACGTAGGAAATATTTGGCAACAAAACCACTACGAATGCTGCTGGACAACGGAAACACCAAAGCTGTGTTCAGTGAGTTGGCTAGGCGGTTGTCAGAACAAAAGACTATCACTCATCCAGAAGCTTGGTGCCATCTCCAGTCTGCTGTAAAAGCAGCACTGAAGACTGTAGCCGACTCTGAAATAGCGGCTAAAAAGAGCCAGTACATATCATCAGCTTCTTCCGAACTACTGGATGCACGTGAACGCATCCCTGCAGGCTCTGAGTACAATGAAGAGCGAGCGCAACTTAAAAGTGGATTGAGAAAAAGTCTACACAATGACCGAGAACAGGAGTGGGCAGCAAAGGCTATGGAGATGGAGAAGGTAGCGGCGATTGGTAACAGTAGGCAGTTATTTAGACTTATTAAGGAAACTGCTGGGGGGGAGGTCAACAACAGTTAGTGAGGCTATAGAGGAAAAGGACGGATCTGCGATTTACTCATAGGAAAGACGACTGGAACGATGGGTAGCACACTTCGAGGAGCAGTTTAACTGGCCTCAAGCCACCACTACGTTACCCGCTATCTAGTCGGATCCTGAAAAGAACACTGAGATAGACCCTCCAACACTAGCAGGTCAAGAAAGAAGTAGGTAACCTGAAACGAGGAAGGGTAGCAGGACCAAACAGACTAACTCTTGAGGTATACAAGGATGGTGGTAAGGTGCTACAGGCAGGTTAAAGGAAGTGTTAACCAGTATATGAGAATCAAATACGATCCCCTCTGACTGGTCTAAATCACTGATTATTCCAGTCTTCAAGAAAGGTAAGAAGTCCTCTTGTGATAACCACAGAGGAATCAGCCTGACGAATATAATGTCCAAGATCCTAGGTTTATAATTCTTCGACGCCTGAGTGGAGCTCAGGAACAGCAAGCCCAAGAAAACCAGGCAAACTTTAGATCTAGGTGTATCGACCAAATATTCACACTGCGCCAAATTCTACAACGTATGCACGCTTACCGACGCCCAACACTAGCTGTATTTCTCGACCTGAAGGCGCCATTCGACTCCATTGATCGAGAAGTCTTGTGGCAATGTCTCTCACTGAAAGGCGTGCCGAGTAAGTACATCACCTTATTGAAGGCTCTCTACTCCAACACTTGTGGGCGTGTTAGAGCTTATGGTGATATGTCCAGGGAGCTATGCTCATCGAGTAGTGTCCGTCAAGGGTGCACACTGTCTCCATTCTTATTCAATTTTACCATAGATATTCTTATGGAGGTCTTCCTCTCGTCACCTGACTACACAAACGACCTAATCGCAGGAGAATTTTCGTTGGACCTAAACTATGCGGATGACATAGTTCTGTTAGGTGGAGAAATTGACAAGATGCAGAGTCTTCTGGACACTTTGAATGGCAATTTGAGAATGTTTGGGATGCATTTCTCGCCAGTCAAACGGAAATTGTTGCTCCAGGATTGGTCTTCAGCGGTGCCTCAGCTAACAATAGACAGCGTAGTGGTTGAGTGTGTCGACCACTTCATTTACCTGGGAAATAGGATCAGCCCTGGTGGCTCAATGGCCGATGAAATCTCTGCACGGACACCAAAGGTTAGACTGGCTTTTGCCAACTTAAGCCACTTATCGCATGGCTGTGATATCCGATTGCCTATTAAGGCTCGCACGTGCTGCACAGAAGTTCCGTCTGTTTTACTTTATAGCTGTGCAACATGGCCAGTGAATGTGGAAGACATGAGAAGGCTTGAAGTGTTTGACCACCGTTGCCTTCGTAGTACAAGCGTATTCGGTGGTGTCACTATGTGAGTAACGCAGACGTCAGGTGCAGAGTTTCAGGGAGAAGAGGTAGATCAGTTGACGAGGTTATGAACCTTCATCGAATGAGATGGTTGGGACACATGTTACGTATGCCTAGTCGCCGATTGCCTTGTCACGCAATGTTGGCTGAAGTAGGTCCAGGCTAGAAAAAGGCTCGACGTGGCCAGACTAAAACCTGACACCAATATATGAAGTCTTTGACTGTTGGTTTGAGACGTGTGGGGTGATGCAGACTAGTCGGTTGGGGTCTGCGGGACAAAAGGAACCAGTGGTCGGAGACTCTAGGTGATATGGCTCAGAACCGATGTCAGTGGCGAAGACGTATGCACACATTATCGTCATCTTAACAATGCTATATCGAATCTCACCATTTTCTCATTCTTTCCTCCGTTTCTTCTCGCACTTTATATTTCTCTCGACTGAATTTTATCTTCATCTTGTACGTTACTGCCTTTCTACTTGATGTACTGATATGAGTTGCGGTAACTCGGACTGTTACACAGTAATGCCTGGTCCTGGGTCGACTTGGATGGATGGATGGAAGCCCAGACTGACGTTAATGTAGCATCAGCTGCCCGTTTTATATTAGTAGGTTAAATACTGTTATTATTAGTATCATTATGGTACAAGGACCGAATCCGTTGAAATGCTCTATGCTGAGAACCGCATACTGCATCAGACGTGTGGAATAACATAAGCATCACTATTTTTATTAGGACCCGTCTGAACTGATCCTTGTTCCAACAAATATTGCAGTGGTTCAGCGCACTGACCATTCCATAAAAACCACTCCTCGGATGCGAAATTCTCGATTTGCAAGGGTCGTGTACTTCCGTGCAACTTGCCATGTTCTACTAAACGATTGTAAAACATAATCATGAGGCAGACGATATGAGAAGACTGTAAGAGTTAGACCGTTATTTCCTTCGTAACAGGTCGTGTTGTAGTGCCACTACGTCAATAATATAGAACTCAGGCACAAGGTAGGTGAGGAAAGTTAGTTGATGTCGTGAACCTTCATCAATCGAGGTAGCGGTGTCAGGTCTTGCTCTGATATTGTGTTTTTGTTAGTAGTGATAACGTCTCAGCAGTTTTCGTTTTCTGCAAACGTAACAAGTAAAATACTGTGGTCTCTTCAGTTCCAATTACTTTTTTTTCTATTTCATGTGATGTGAGATGTGGCAATTTGGAACGTCCAACATGGTTACCAGGTTCCATGCTTATATTAACTAACAAAGACCGATATTTTCTGTGTACTTCACTAGTGCTTGAGGAACAAATAGCAACTTTAGTACAAAGCAACCGAGTACGACCTGTCAGCTATCATTAACAAGATGATGGAGTATTTTATTCAAAAGGTACTGATGCTGAATATCAACAATGGAGTGCTACGCGAATAACAACACGTTGCATGCTTCAGGTGAACTTGCCATACCTTGCAACTTAATCAAAAACTAAGAGTTTGCTTTATGTGCACCGTTGCAGATCACCCTAACACACTTAACGGCTCCTATAACAGCAAAAGTGGAAACAAGAATACAAGGGGAACGAAGGGTAACCAGGACTATAATATATATAGAATTATCAAGAAATATGGACAGTCAGTTACGTCGAAAAATTTCACTGCTGTACAACACTCAAGCAAGCGTAAACTTACACTTAAATCACGATGCGGCTCATATGGGATGAAGAGAACCCAGCCACCAGAGCCCTAGAGTGAAGACAGACTGAACTATTGATACTGCTTTTTTGGATCACTTCGAAGTTTCTCATGCTGAAAATATAAAGTCATCGAAAAGCCCAATGGAGTCCGATAGCGCCTTAATAGTTTCTGACTAGTAAAAACAGTTCTATGATTACTACTTGGATTTTCTTATCACACGAAATGCGTTTATAATGTACCAAACTAACGTGACCAGAGGAACCTGTAGTCTATGGGAACTGACAAGTTTCTATAACATGCCCAGGCAAGAAATGAACTAAAACGATTTATCAAGTGGCCTTGAATAAATAATTATAACGCAGTTGCCTGAATTCATATCACCAATGAGAGTCTCAACGAACCACAAAAGATCAATACTCCATACCACTGGGAAACCTTAGTGAAAAGCAGGTTGAGTTTATGATACTTTTGATTTGCGTGACAGTTTGAGTACTTTAAGGGACGAACAAAGCCACATCCTTGTGGAGACCAAAGGATTGAAAAAATATGTCAACTGAACAAGATGAAAACTAGCCACGTACTCAGATAAACCTACAGATAGTTTAAGAAAGCGTATAATTAGACTAACGTAGTGCACCTTGGTAATCCAACTACTTACCTTCCAGTAGCCTGGCAATAATACTATCAATGTTCATCTTATCATCCCCCGCCATCGTACCAAAAACAAACCGAAACCAATTCAATGTGACCGCTAGACACTATTAGTCTACTCAAATAGTGTTATATTTTAGTGGTCATTTATGTTTTTTAAAAAAGTAATTTCTGAACCTCACACATAAATTCCGACAGAGCTAAACTTTCGTTGCTTGCATTCACTTAAAGTTATACCGACGTGCATTCTCCTAAAACGTTAAAATGAGTTCTGTATTTTGTTGAAAATTTCCGGATTCCGCTATGCTCATCGTATCCAAAGCTGCTCGGTGTAACTTGACGCTAGGAAAGTCCATCAAAGATCACCCTTCCAACTTCTAAGCGGACAGTGTAATCACAGGAAAAGTCATCTCAGTGTGTTTTGTTGCTTGCTACACATAATGAAGTTCTGAGGATAACACAAATTTTCTGCATTCTGATTACTCCCTTATCCATTTTCCCTTATTGTAAAATGTAGTTGGTCACTCGGTGTTTTTATATGCCATATATTCATATGCAAACAAGTAGCTGCACTCCAGCAAGTTTTTGGGAGAAAATTTTCCTAGTTATCTATGAAGAATAGTGCATGGTGATTAAAGTCAATTATTCGGGGCATTAATTAGCAGAAATAAAGCCTCATGGATGCTGCTTTTATTGCGGCTTAGGTGAATGGCAAATGTTATTGCGAATAAAATCAAAGGATAACGAAGACATTCACGTCTGTGGCTGCAAATTCCAGGTGACGTGTGCACTGGTAAGGTTGTAGACAACGTAGTGTTCGTGAAGGACCTCAAGGAGGACCATAAAACACACCTGATATCCTGTTTATACTGCTCGAAGAAGCTTCATGGTGACCAGGGGCTGCAGGCTTTGAAAATAAATCCGTCAAAGGAATTCTAGCCGCTCAACCATTTGTTCTCTGATTTAATGGGTTTTGTGATGTAATTTTAAAAGTGCCAACATTGACACGAGGAGTTTTTTGTCAGAAGTAACTAGTTACCCACCGGCAAAATATGAGTAGTAAAAATGTTCGTGTGAGGTTACCCTTTAGCCGGATATCTGGCCCGGCGTGCTGACTTTCGGCCTTGCAGCTGGCCCCGTTGACAGGACGCTTGGTCCAAACAACACAGTGGCCTAACAATGGGCCCTATGTTCACTGGATCTGGCACTGCACCAGATTCATGGCTCAAAGTTTAGCCAATACTCATTGCAATCAGCCTGATGGGCAGATTTTGGCCCCAAACTGGGCCCGACATTGCCCTATATGGCTCGACAAGATGGCTGACTGGTTTTAGTGTGTTCTCTTAGTCCCGCGCCCGCCGGTATATTAAAGGTAAGAATAATCAGTGATTGCTCTTTGTATAAGCCAAGTTCGCTTAGAATCAAGTCTCAAACCATTAACTAATCAGAACAATTAACTGCAATATTATTCTTACTGCGATGAAGTAAATACATTTTCCAATGCTGAGCTCACTGAAGGTAATTGAAGGATGTGAATCTGCTGGTGTGGAGTAGCTCTAAGTTTGGCGGTAGCCCTGTAAATAAAGTATCACTAAATTTCACAATCCATCCAATAAGGAGGGAGTTGGGGGATTTTAGTGGGAGACTACGGAGTGGATGGAGAGGTGGAGAAAAGTTCCGAAAAATATTTGTTTTTCGTCGCCCTCAGTACGCCCACATCCTCCAACCACAGAGCTGTGGAGCAGTAAGGGGCCATTATTGGTGCTACATACAAACGTGAGGTTAGTTTTTGTTGTCCTCGTAGCTTTCTGTTTCGGAAGCTATCGTTGTATCCGGGAAGTCTTGCCCCTTTGATGAGTACCGATAAGTCCCTCTTCTGGTCCTTTAACTGTCAGCCTACAAGCATTGTAACAAAGCGGTGGATCCGTCGCCTTAAAGCTGAAGTCATACTGACACCTTTCCTCATTCTAAGATAACTAATAACTGGATATTCGGGCAATTAATTACTGAAGAATACGTGTCAGTTAGCCAGGACCCTCATTATACTTGCACTGCTCACAAGCACCCCTGCCGGCGAATTCGACAACCCGCAACTTGTACACCGTTTGCTTGGTATCAAAGTTTAGACTGTCCTGAATATTTTCGTCCGTCGTTCCGAAAGTGAAAGCGAGTGTGGCCAACGTTCTTAGAAATAAAAGTCACAATGCAATGAAGTTGAAGACCGCTAATCTGTAACCTATAGACCAAAGTGTCATTAATGATTGGGGTCTTCCTCTCAATTTACACGATCACATGACTGGCGTGCACAGGGGTGCAAATGAACATAAACGTGATGTCCTGAAAACCCAAAAATAATTGAAAATGCACTATGTAGGCCGAACTACTTTCAACAATTAGTATTTCTATCACGCCCCAGAGGTGAACGTATTGTTTTCAGCTCAGTAAAGCGCCAGAGCTTGTTGAACTTTGAAGCCACCGAAGTAAGCAATTGGACGAGATCCCCCACAACGCTGCCATTTTCCAACCATCTGAAAGCTACTCCTGAAAAGCATCAAAAGTGAATATTCACAAGCACATGGCTTGCCTAGAGCAGCCTGCAATTTTCACCAACTAAAACTAAAACGGGTAAATTTGCGCACCCTGTTCCATCTCAGTCCAGTTCACTCTCTGAAGGCATACAGTTATTTAGTTCACAGAGAATAAAGGCATCCACGGCACCGTAAAGTGGAGTTGAGACATTTCTACAGTGGCTTCGCAAAATTCACCTAAACCAAGAAACACTGAAAGCGAATGGAAGCTGATTTGTCGCCAGGACCTGAATCCAAGTGGAGTCTCACCCATAATCTTATCCCCGCCAGCTTTCAGTCCGGCCCCTCAAACCACAACAATGAGCGTAACAGGCAGCAAGCTCCATAATCAGCCCATGAAGGCCCACTTTCGATGGATGAGGTCAATGTAGATGACACAAATACTGATGTAGGTGATGCGTTACTGATGAAAGAAGGCAGCGTGGCCTCATATCTCCCACAGACACACTGACAGAGAGCAAAAACTTTCCTCGCCATTGTACGCCAAAACACCAGTACAAGGGTAAGCTAAGTAAAACCGATCTCAAGTTGCATGGCGGCCGAAAAAAACTGCAAGTTGGTCCAGTATTGTAAAGCGGTTTACCATGCTAACACCCACCATATAAACTAATTACGATATCGGTTTGTCCCTGCTTTAGGTGGGCGGTATTTAGCAGTTTCTAAGACGAACATAGTGGGCATTAAGGAATAAGGAGGCGGAAGTACTCTCTAGAGTACGGAATGAGTCCACGAAGTATATTTCGCAAAAGCGCGATGAAACCTACATGCGGGGATTCCGACCTTCCTGATATTATTTGGAGCCCACCACAAGCACCCAAACATTATACAGAACCACCAAGCTCATCAAAAATAAGAGGCCATTTTCGAATATACAAGCGCGCACTACTTCGACATGCGTCAATAAATTTCAGCAGCCGCCTAGAGAAAATGGCTAATGGTTACCACTGGTTGTCAGCAAACTGTTGCAAAGCTGCTCCAATCGCAGAGTCAGACGCATCAACAACAATACCCAAAGGAGCATTGGAGTCGTGATGTATAAGCATGGTTGCGTCTGAAATGGCTTCCTTGAATTTAGAGGAAGCAAGAGAAAATCGTCCAGAGTCACGCACTTCGTAGTACCTCGAAGCAGATCTGTGAGTGGTCTCATGACAGAGGCACAACAAGGGTAAACCCTGGGTAATGACTTACCAGGCCACTGAAAGTAGGCGGCTGCTTCACAGTGGTCGGCTGTGGGTAGTTCGTGATAGCCACCGCTTTATCTCTCAATGGGCGTGTACCTTTGCGGTCAATGGTATGCCCAAGGAAACTGAGAGACTCAGCACCTATTTCACATTTCCACAAGTTGACTGTGATGTCCTGTTTTTTAGTCTTTCGAATATGAGGTCCAAATGTTTAAGGTGAGTTTCCGTATCTGGACTCGCAATTTGACAGTCACCGATGTAGACTTGGACAAAATTCAAACCACGGAAGACGTCATCCATAAAGTGTTGAGATGTTTGTGCCGCATTCTGAAGACCGAACGGCACGCACGGGAACTTCAACCAAACCAAAAGGAGTAATAATGGCTGTTTTCGCAATATCTTCTGCTGCCATGGGTATCTGATTACGCGCTTTGACCTGATCGATCTTGCAGACGGAATGCGTCACCTGATTGTTTAGTTCTAACTATGACTAAACTCGGACCTACGTAGGTAATGCTGCCAGCAGATAACTTTGTGTTATAACCTACCAGTCGCCGACGACGAGCGTCCACTAGTGGACCGTGTGGTTCAGCAAATCAATGCCAGCGATGGGCACAAAAATGTCAGCTAGCAGGAAAATCCAGCGAACAGGTTTAGACAAACCTAATTTGAAGTAGGCATACCATCTCGCAAATGCTGAGATTGCCTTGCTGTTAGCTGCCCGAAAATTGAAGGGTGGGTCATGATGACACTTTTTAGTCGGTGCGGGAAGACCGCCAACTCCAGCACCAGTGTCGACGAGGCAGCGAACTTTTGTTTTTATCTCTATGACTTAAAGCAAACGGCTGCTCCCGCCAGCTACGGTTGCCGTGGCACGTGCGGGCGTGGCAGTTTCCCGAGTTTGTGTCGCCGTTGGAACTGGATGGCTTCCAGCATTTTCTGGCTTCGTCTCCGTAAGTATTATGAAACCAGCAACATTTTGGGTTTTCCACTCTGTTAGGCTCAGTTTTGGACAACCGCGCGAGTCGATGCGATGCGCTGAGATGCGTTCCTGTGATATGCTACGTAACCTAGGATTTCGAGTTCGTAGCAACTGTTTGACAGAGTTGCACAGCTTCGTCACCTCTGAATCCTGGCTCCCTGGTTTATTGCAGATAGGATATGCGTTTGAGGAGAGTCTACCAGAGCTCTCCAGTATTTTACCTGCTGAAGCTGCCAGGTCATCCAGTGGAACTGACTAAAGTGTCACTAACACTGCCTGTACCGGTTGTGGTAATTTCGACAGAAACATTTCTCGGAAAAGGCCATTATCGAAAGCTGGCGCGCCCGTGACTTCTTGCATGCGTGCGACGACTTCGGTAGCTGAGTGGCCGCCTGGCTCGATGTCAGGAAGCAATTCGTCTAGGCGCCGGCGATCTGTGAGATCATTTTTCTTCAGTGGTACAGCCTTGAGAAGTGCATAGAGATCACTTACTTAAGGACCAAATATATGCTGTGTAA